ACATCAGTGTATGAAGTGTGGTTTTGGTAGTGGCTAGTATCTGTAAATGCTGAAGTAATAGTTATTTATTGGTAAAGGAAGATGTATTGCACTTTAGCAATAGACTTGAGTAGAGCAAGACAGCATGGCCACATCACTTGCTTGTGAACCTCTTGTAAGGTAGACTGAGTAGATGCTGCATAGTTAAACAATATTGATCAAAATATAATGCTTCCCCCCCTTTACCCCTCTTAGCACTGTTTGACAAAAAGAAAACTGGCAAGAAGCGAAAGACAGAGGCTGAAGAAAGGACCCAAAAGAAGCTTAAGAAATTCCAAGAGAAGAAAATGCCAAGGGCCAACTATGACAGTGATGATGATGGTGGCGGTCGCAGTCGTGGGAAGGCCAAGCACAGAGAGGGCGGAAAGCATGGAAAAGGAAAGGGAAAGGTTGGTTTCAAAACCCATGAAAAGATCAGGAAAGCAAAACCAACTGGTATGAAAATGAAGAAAAAAGGCTTCAAGAGGAAATAATTGCATGGGTGATCTTTGCAAATATTAAGTGCAAGACGTTAATTTTGATGAATGTTATCTTGTATCTAACAAATGTGAGATTTTGTTAATAAATTATATATATTCCAAAGATTGTTTATATACTTTCAGTTTTTTGTTTGGAGGATGATATCATTATATTTAAGACAATACCAATATGGTAACAAGTAATGTATATTTACTACAAAAGGGCTTCCATCAGAGTGCTTCCAAGCTTTTGTCTTTTAGAAGACAAAACAGGTGTAGGTAAAACCGACAAATTAGTCAAAAGTTAAATCCTTGGTCTGTAATCCTCCCTGGTAAGTGTGAAATTGTATTCAAGAACTATTCAGAAACAATTCAATTACTAACACTGATAATGAGTAATTTTTACGTCACATTCCAAAAGATGAAAGCCACATTTTTACCATGCCTACAACTGCAGGTGGTCTCAACTACGTACTGAAATGTTGGCATAATCTCACTTGCTTTGAAACATGTCATAATGGAGAATATGAAAGGATATGAATAAACTTGCTATTAAATTTATATGGATTACAAGATGGAATCATGGGGAAGAATCAAGTGATTATATGAATCACAGGATTTATTTCTATGGCAAGGTGGTATCACGGGTAAGGAACAAGTAACAGCCTATGTGTTCTGGAAGCAACGAGAGGTATACAACATTTACATTGCTAAAAGTCATTGTGAAATGAAAATAGATAAGTATTCATGAAACAAAGAACATTTGAGTGTTACTGTGAGGCTGGGAGCAGATGGCTTTGCAGTGAAGGAGATTATGAGCATCACTGGCAGTGTGTGACATCCAAGGGACTGTTTGTCAAATGCTTTTGTAAGCCCTTTTATATGTGTTTCAAATATGTCTTTCCAAGGCTTGAAGAGACTTGTGTACAGGTCCAGGGATATGTGACTATCAGGTGTTTACTATATATATGTACTTGATTAACTGGGAAGAAAGTCCTGTGTGCCTCATTCGAAACACTAACCTTTTACATTGTACTGACAGAAAAAGCGGTTACAGAAGACACTAAATTACAAAAAATAGAATTAATTTCATTTGTGTGTCATTCATATGTATAATAATTTGCCCCACAGACATATGATTATACCTGTTTTACAGTATGAACACTGAAAAAAATGTGTTATATAAATGATCCATGAGAATGACAATGTGCAGTTCTATCTGTTCATGTTCACATGAACAACAACTCTGGTGGCAGACAGAACATTTTCCACCAATAGTGAGTGGACCATAGCAGTGATTGCAATAGGTTTTGTTACATGTTAGGTATGGTTTCCCTCCCAATACTTTGCTCATTGTTGTCATGGGAGGGTTTAGGAGACGGAGACTGAGGCCCAAGGTAGGGGATCACCCCTACCTTGGGCCTTAGCCATCGCCTCAACTAATTTTGCTTGGTCTTTCCTTCTCCTCTTTCCTCTTCTGTATCTTCTTCATCCCCTTCTGTCCTATCCCTAAGGTGTAACAGCTGTGCTGAAAGGATGAAAGGCTGTCTTTGTCAGTCATGAATGGCCTCCGAGAGCCATGGGCACGGTATTCCCTTGTTAATTGCCTAGGCCTTACCCCTTGTGGTCA